ACCTATATAATAAACATAGTATGAATATATTTTGTGAATTCTTTGAGTTTTTTTATTTCTATTCTTTTCAGGCCCAAATCGCCAATGATCTACAACTGTACCTCTGGAAGCCTCAATCCATTTTCTTGGGGAGAATTGGGTGAGTATTTTTTTTTTTTAAGGATTCAGAAAATTCCACCAGACTTTTTGAATGGAAGTTATCCTTAAGGGCTTGCCTCGCCATTGAGATTTCAAGGGCCGACAGTCTCCGTGTGGATAAGGGATTGTCTGTCGCATGGGATTCTTCACAAGATTTCATTAACACCACCTTACAATGAAGTTACAACTACTGTCTGTGCTTCTCGTGTGGAATATCTCGCAAGGCTTGCGCAGCTGACAGTAGCACAGCTATTTATTTTAAGGTTTTATTTGTGAATCTCTAAGGTCACCTTGTTGCTAATAGGTAAGCAGTGGCCTTAGACCAGTGATGGCGAACCTTTTAGAGAATGAGTGCCCAAACCGCAACCCAAACCCCACTTATTTATCATAAAGTGCCAGGGCCACATCAGCATTGTGGTGCCCTCAGGGGGGAGCAGGGTGAGTGCCTCTGAGTGCCGCCTCTGGCACGCAAAAACTGGGGGTGCAAAAATGGGCCACTGTGCTGCAAGGTGCAAAAATGGCCGCCGCCGCACCACGGGGTGCAGATACAAGGCACTGCATCATGCAAGAACGGGGCAGGGCTAGTGAGTATCACGCAGGCCCTAGACCCACCCCATTTGCAGTGCGTGCGTGCTTGCGGCCCCGTGCACGCATGCACGCATGTAAAATGCTTCCCCCTCCCTTATCTTCCAGTCCACCAATCGATAATGGTTGGTGACCTAAGCTCTACCACCTCTACTCGAGCTTGCTAGTTGGCCGCTTCGCCTCCTTTGTGCTGGGCGGGGCTCCTGCTCTGGGTGGTGGTGGCGGCCTAATGGATCTGCTGGTGGCGGCGGTGGCACGCATGCCAACAGAGAGGGTTCTGAGTGCTGCCTCTGGCACGCGGGCCATAGGTTCGCCAACACTGCCTTAGACATTGACCAAATAAAGTCAGGGAGGCAAAACGCTAATTGTAACATAATAATAATAATAATAATAATAATAATAATAATAATAATAATAATAAACAGAACCAGAGGTTGGGGGAAGAGCCACATTCTTCCCCTTTCTTCAGCTCATCTAAATCATGCGACCGGAAACCACGTCTGGTTTTCTGGGTTCAGATAGCACTTTGCCTTCTTAAGTTGACCTTTCCGATAAGGGTCGTGTTGGGTGCAGTATCTGTTTTCTCCCATTCTGCAGAAATTAATGTGATAAATATCTATGAAAAAAACCCACTGGAGAAACCCTTCAGGATCCCAAATGCCAGGATGACCTCGAGCTACTTGCTCCATCAGTACTGGACCTTTGTCTGTCACACCATCCCTGCTTTTCTCGGTGACCTCTATCTGCGGCTGATGGGAAAGAAGCCATGGTGAGATTGGATCTCCATTGTGGGGTGCGTAGGGGATGATGTCCCCCCCAAAAAAGTCCAGCAATAGCAGTTTTAGGGAAGCACCCTGAAGAATGCAGGAGACCTTTTTTCCAAGGAGGACCACCTTCTCCGCCAATTTGACAGCTTTGGGGATTCCTCAAGAATAGGTCTTCCACATCTTTCAGCATAATAATCCTCCCAAAAGCTTACAAACAATGGAAGTGATTCCAATTAAAAATGCGATTGGCAAAATTAATGAGTAGGAGCCAGTTGTGGTCGTGGCGGCCCTTAAGACACACAGAGTCCTTGGTTCCCCAATGGTCCCATCAGAAAGGTGGGATGATGGATGTCTCTGGGAAAGGCCTTGAATAGCCCACCATAGATATTCGAGGATTGTGGCAGCAAGATGCTTTGCAAACATCCTCTGCTCAGTCTCTATATTCTACTCTACTCTACTCTACTCTACATTCCTATATTCTACTCTACTCTACTCTACTCTACTCTACATTCCTATATTCTACTCTACTCTACTCTACATTCCTATATTCTACTCTACTCTACATTCCTATATTCTACTCTACTCTACTCTACATTCCTATATTCTACTCTACTCTACATTCCTATATTCTACTCTACTCTACTCTACTCTACATTCCTATATTCTACTCTACTCTACTCTATTCTACATTCCTATATTCTACTCTACTCTACTCTACTCTACTCTACTCTACTCTACGCTACGCTACTCTATTCTATTCCGTATTCTGTTCTATTCTATTCTACCTCGTCCATCAGCACTGGAGTTTCCTCTATCACAAACCCCGCTACTCTACGCTACGCTACGCTACTCTACTCTATTCTATTCTATTCCATTCCATATTCCGTATTCCGTATTCTGTATTCTGCTCTATTCTATTCTACCTCATCCATCAGCACTGGAGTTTCCTCTATCACAAAACCCCGTTTGTCTACGACCCGTATTGACAACTGATTGGAAAGAAGCCTTGGTGAGTATTGGGTCTGCCGTGTGAGGCATGGGGAAGCGGTCAAAAAAGTCAAGATAGAGGTTTCAGGGAAAGCCCCCTGAAGAATAGAGAAGAACCTTTTCTCCAAGAAGGACCCACTCCTTCACCCATTTGATATCTTCAGGGATTTATTAGGAAAACAATCAGATCGACTTGCAGCTTTGCCCACTGTTGTGTACACATATATCACAAAGACCTCCACATCCTGCAGGATAATAATCCTCCCAACAGCTTACAAACCATCTAAATGGTTCTAATTAAAAATGCAATCAACAGAATTCCTGAGTAGGAGCCAGTTGTGGTCGTGGCGGCCCTTAAGACACGCAACGTCCTTGGTTCCCCAGCGGTCCCATCAGAAAGGTCTGTGTGGATGTCTCTGGGAACGGCCTTGAGGATAGCCCACCATAGATATTTGAGGACTTTGCAAAGCACCCTGTGCTCGGTCTCTCTGAGGACAGACGCTACTAATCCTATCTCTGAGACGTTTCTGTTTTGCCTTTCCAGGATGATGAAGCTTGCTGGGCGTTTGGACAAGACTATGAGTCTCCTTGAATATTTCACCCGCCATTCCTGGGACTGGAGCTACGAAAATACAAACAGGTTACTGAAAGAGCTCAACCCAAAAGACAGAACGGTAAGCATCTGTCCGAACCGCCGATCCCGTCAATGAAAATTAAAGAGTGAAAATGTGCATTCAGGCTAGATTTCAGCTGGTTTCCAAAAGGGCAAATTCCTTCCTCGGAGCCCTACGCAAGAGGCTAGTCCCTGTAGCGATAGGTGGGAAAGACCTTGGGAGACGCGGTGAGGAGAAAATGATCTCTTCCTCCAAAGGTGTGTTGTTGTTGTTGTTGTTGTTGTTTTCATTTTCCCAGTGCTGTGCAAATACAATCCTCGCTGCTGCTAATGCGTGTAATGTTAAATATACACTTTGCTGTATATTTGGAGGAAGAGATCATTAAGCAAATACTGGACTGTGCGGAAATGGATAGACTTGCACTGAGAATTAAAGAAAAAAGAAGATAAAGAATATTATCAAACACCTAAACAGGAGCCAGCCGTGTGCTGCAGCTGCCAAAAAAGCCAACACAGTGTTAAGCTGCATTAACAGAGGGAAGGGACCTTGGAGGTCATCTAGTCCAACCCCCTGCTCAGGCTGGAAACCCTATATCATTTCAGTCAAATGGCTGTCCAGTCTCTTCTTAAAAACTTCCAGTGTTGGAGAATTTACAGCTTCTGGGGCAGGTTGTTCCACTGGTTAATTGTTCTAATTGTATCCTGCAGGAGTTTGTATTTAATTCTTGGCTTCTTGTCTTGCCAAACAAATTTACAAATATAGTTTTGCCATTCCTTGAATGGTACATCAATATATCAGTATAGGTATTGTCCCGAAAAACTTATTTCTTATATAATGTTGAACTTAAAATCAAGATTGGAAGAGTGCTTCTCCCCCCCCCCCCATTTTAAATAGTCTTCTTTCTGCTTAATCCCAGTTGTTCTGCTTTGACGTCTGTCAACTGACTTGGCCAGAATACATGAAAGATTACTGCTTAGGAACCAAGAAATACCTGCTGAATGAAGACATGGCTGGAATTCCTGCCGCTCGGCAGCATATCAGAAAGTAAGACACGTAACAATTTTTTTGTGTTAACTTTCACAACCTGAGAGCCGAATGCTTTCAGTGAATGAAATTGCTTGGTCACCACAAAATAGGGGCTTGGGCTGGATGCCACATATAGCTTGGCTTGGAATGGTATATATATTAGGGTCCTTCCTCCAAAGAGAGTGTAGCCCAGATCGAAGACGTAGGTAGAGCCAGGAGAAGAACTGAATCTGATTGATTGGTATACATAATTAAAGTATAGATTATTAAAGTATCCATAACTAAAGCTGCCACAAAGAAGGGGTCTCAAACTGTTGCAAATTGTATAGGGGTCGACTAGAAGCCCTCTCAGGGTCCTTCAAGCTCTGTTCTGATTGATTCTGGGGTCAACCTATTTTCCAAAGCAGCAGAAGGCAAAACAAGACTCAACGGATGGAAACTAATCAAGGAGTGAATCAACCTAGAAGTCAGGAGAAACTTCCTAATGGCGAGAACAACCAACCGTTGGAACGGCTTGCCTTCAGAAGTTGTGATTGCTTACAATCACAATAGTTATTTAGGTTTAGGTTAGTTAGGTAATCCAGATAAATATCATGTCTGATTCTTACATAATAACCTAGATCTCATCGCTCTTCCCATGAGACAAGAGTGTTAACATTCTGAAGGATTAATGGTAGGTGGAAACCGACATTGTTATTTGCAACTGCTCCAACTTTCTATCTAGGTTGGATGAAGAAATCCCATGAGAAGCACCTTTAAGATCTGGGTCACCAAGGCTGACTCTTCTGTCCGGGTCATCCATCCCCCCCCTCCCTAAATGACCGCGATGATCGGATGGACCGATTTCACTTTGGTCCAAGGTGGCACATTTTTGATACGATACCATCACACTCTCCGTATCCCAGCTGATGGTTGATCTGTTTTCTCTTGCGAATGACCTACCATTGGTAGTTCAGCTCCTCTTCTTTCTCTTCTCTCTTTTGTCAGGCTGAAGACTATCCAGTGGGCACTGAAGGCCACTCTGCTTGTGATCTTCTGGCGCGTATTCATTGCAAAGTCACAAATGGCTCGTAATATATGGTATTTCGTACTAAGCCTCTGCTACAAATTTCTTAGCTACCTTAGAGCTTCCAGCACCCTGACACATTGACTGCGCTTTCTGGGGATTGCTTGCTACGCCTTGGAATAACCTTCAAGACAACTCCTGGTATCTGTCTGCTTCAACAGTAACAAGATACCTTTCAACTGTTTAAGTCAGGGGTCTTCAACCTTGGCAACTTGAAGACCTTTGGACTTCATCTCCCAGAATTCCTCAGCCAGCTCCTGGATGGCTGAGGAATTCTGGGCGTTGAAGTCCACAAGTCTTCAAGTTGCCAAGGTTGAAGACCACTGCTTTAAGTCTTCAGCAGATATCACAAGAGATTTACTCTAATTATTACTACCACCACTACTACTATTCAATTGTTGTTGCAACGGGCGTTGACTTTCTGCCTCTACATCCATCACATCATCCCAAGGAAGCTGCATTTTTCACAATGACGTCTACCAGTTTTGTTCCGTCCCAGTGCCCAGTTGGACCCTGAAAACTGCCACTGGAGATCTTCCACCCAGAAATACTGAAGGGTAAAAATTTCAATGCTTCATACTGTACGTAAATCAGTTTGTATTCCATATGTTCCTACTGCATTGGACCAGCAGAGCTATATATATATTGCATAATTAAGGTTCAGGGATCTCTTTCAGTCAAATTGAAGATGGAAACAAACATGACGTCGACGAAGCAATGACGATTGCTTTCGGGGGGGGGGGATATCCCTCCTATTCTTTTTCCAGGAGTTGATGTTTTGAAAGCCCAGAGATTAAATGTAGATTTAAATAGAGTTTACACAAATAGTTCACCACGTGCATTGCACAAACCTAACCTCTCTTTATACTGGTAATTGTGCCCTCTTTGCATGGGACCCTTCAGGAATATAATAATAATAATAATAATAATAATGATGATGATGATGATGATGATGATGATGATGATGATGATGATGATGATGATGATGAAAGGGACCTTGGAGGTCATCTAGTCCAACTCCCTGCTCAGGTAGGAAACCTTATACCATTTCCGACAAATGGCTGTCCAGTCTCTTCTTAAAAACTTCCAGTGTTGGAGCATTCACCGCTTCTGGAGGCAGGTTGTTCCACTGGTTAATTGTTCTAACTGTCAGGAAGTTTCTCCTTAGTTCCAGGTTGCTTCTCTCCTTGATTAGTTTCCATCCGTTGCTTCTTATCCTGCCTTCTGGTGCTTTGGAGAATAGCTTGACTCCCTCTTCTTTGGGGCAGCCCCTGAGACATTGGAACCCTGCTATCATGTCACCCCTCTTGATAGCAGTGAACCAAACAGTTCCCCAATCCTTAATCATCCTCTGCCTACAACATTCCTTGGAAACGTGGGTAGAGGCTGTGCCAACTTGAAAGGAATATTATGAAGGCCTTTCCTGCGCCCGCGGTCAGGTTGATCGTTACAGAGGTTGCTCTTTAGGTGAAAAACAATATTTTTTCCAGAATGCAAGCTGTGATGGAAGTTTCCAGGGAAATATTTACTAGTTACTTACCTAACACATTTATAGAGCTTGCCATCTACCCAGGGAACACTGGCAAATGGAAATTAAAACATGAACCAAACTATCCAATCCCATTAAAAAGCAACTGGGTTGAGGTCCCTAAAATCACATGATCAAGGCAATAAACTAAAGCACGTCCACACCAAAGTTCCATCAGCTTCTATGCTTGGGAGAAGACCAGGTTTCCACAGTCTTCCAGAGGCTCAACAAGGGTGGGGCTGCCCACATCTCTTTTACGTGCTTATGTCCTAATATTGAAAAGGTTGTCAAGAAAATAGTAGCCAAACATCTTAGAACAGAATAGAGCTGGAAGGGACCTTGGAGGTCTTCTAGTCCAGCCCCTTGCTCAAGCAGGAGAGCCTACACCATCTCAGACAGGTGATTGTCTAGTCTCTTCTTAAAAACCTCCAGTGATGGAGCGCCCACGATTTCTGGAGGCAAACTGTTCCACTGGTTGATTGTCCTCATTGTCAGGAAGTTTCTCCTTAGTTCCAGGTTGCTTCTCTCCTTCATTAGTTTCCATCCGTTGTTTTTTGTCCTGCCTTTGGGTGCTTTGGAGAATAATTTGATCCCCTCTTCTTTGTGGCAGCCCCTCAAATACCGGAACACTGCTATCATGTCTCCCCTATTTCTTTTTTTCTTTAGATTAGCCCAAGTCCCGCAGCCGTTCTTCGTATGTTTTAGTCTCCAGGCCTTGGATCATCTTAGTTGCTCTTCTCTGAATTTTTCCCAAACTCTCAACCTCTTTTTTGTGATATGGTGACCAAAATTGGCTGCAGTACTCCAGGTGTGGTCTTACTCACCTCTGCAGCATCCACTTGGCTGCTGGGTACCGTCGGATCGCGTTCTACTGCCTGCAATAACTGTTTCTGAGTGGATGTGAATTTTGTTCCCAGAGAAAGGTGTTGAAATGCAAGCTTTGTTAGCAATCCAGCGAAGGATGAAATGTCTCTTAAGTTCACAGTGGACAAATAAAATTATGTCCAGATACACACCTCTCCAGTTCACTAAACTCTAGAAGGAGCAGATACAAATAATCTTCTTCTTGTGCCATACCTGTTATCGGATGTTGGCAATCATGTTGGCGATCCTGTTTTTATCAGCAACCGAAAGAAAAATTCTGCCATTGTGACATAGCAGAATAAAAATAGATTTAGCCTGCCTGTGGAATCCATGTCCTGGTCTCGGTCTACCAAGTGGGGCTGACAATAGTGAATTTCCCCACTTGATTGTGTTGTGTTGTATTCCCCCCTTTCCTCTGATGCTCCTGTTTATTAGGGAGATGTCTGTCTGCACGCTTCTAAATATTATCTGTCAGTTATGGACTTAAGACATGTTTCCTTTTTATTGCTTTGCTAATACAGATTGCATATTTATGAAAGTCACCTTCTTTACTCTCAATAAAAGATTTTCAAACATCGTTTCTTGGGGACATCATTTCAATATCCACTTTACAAAGGGAGCAGGTTATTGGAGGCATCCAGAGTTCCGGATACCTTCCAGCGGTTTGAGACCATGACTTTAGCTATCATTCTTTACTGTGTGAGTTTCCTTGTCATCCCTTACAAAAGCAACAATTGAATAACCTACTGGTGTCTTAGGGTTGATATTTCTATAGTGGCAAACTGCATTTGGAAGAAGACAACCGTAAATATCTGAGATTAAATCTTTATTTCAACTGTAGATATGCAAATCAATGGCAAAGACCTTCTTCTGATTCAAACAGATTTGAGGATAGGATCACCATCATTGAAAGATATGATTTGACCAGTCTGCCTTCGCCACCATTTCTTTTTTTCTTTTTAAAAAAGCTTCCTTTGGGGATGTCCAGTTTAATGAAGAGAAGGACGAGGGGGGACATGATAGCAGTGTTCCAGAATCTCAGGGCTGCCCCAAAGAAGAGGGAGTCAAGTTCTTCTCCAAAGCACCTGGAGGCAGGACAAGAAGCAATGGATGGAAACTAATGAAGGAGAGAAGCAACCTAGAACTAAGGAGAAACTTCCTGACAGTTAGAACAATTAACCATGGAACAACCTGCCTCCCAGAAGCTGTGAATGCTCCAACACTGGAAGTTTTTAAGAAGAGACTGGACGGCCATTTGTCTGAAATGGTATAGGGTCTCCTGCCTGAGCAGGGGGTTGGACTAGAAGACCTCCAAGGTCTCTTCCAACTTTTTTTTCTTCTTCTTCTTCTTCTTCTTCTTCTTCTTCTTCTTCTTCTTCTTCTTCTTCTTCTTCTTCTTCTTCTTCTTCTTCTTCTTCTTCTTCTTCTTCTTCTTCTTCTTCTTCTTCTTCTTCTTCTTCTTCTTCTTCTTCTTCTTCTTCTTCTTCTTCTTCTTCTTCCTCTTCCCCTTCCCCTTCCCCTTCCCCTTCCCCTCCTCCTCCTCCTCCTCCTCCTCCTCCTCCTCATCATCATCATCATCATCATCATCATCATCATTATCATTATCATTATTATTATTATTATTATTATTATTATTATTATTATATTCACCACTGTTACATATGCTGATCTCCCCACTACATCTAGTCCACCCTGCATAACAGCACTTGGCCCCGGTGCCTGGCCTGGGCCTAAATTAAAGGTGTGAGACTTTGGGCAGTCTCCACCAGCTGCCACTACCTCAGGCCTTGGGCATCAGCTTTGGTGCCACCACTACCACTCAGGAATGCTGCCTCAGACCAGTCTCCAAGTCCTGTGAGGCTTGGAAACAGGGTGACTGCCACCCTAGCCTGCTGTTCGTGAGGATCTGCCACCTGCCACTAAGCTTCAAGCATTTGTCTCCTGCCATATGCTCTTATGAACGATCTCACACTGTAAACAAACGGACCTCATTGTTGCTTTTAGTGTAATGTGCTTTTCGAGACCATGACCGCGCTCAACCCCTAAAGGACATCACTTGTTACACACTCATCACAAAAGGTCACAATTGTGTGGCAAGACTCCGTGGACCTGCAAGCTGCCCTTGTTAGGATGACGGAGATCCAAAGATATTTTAGAACAGGGGTAGTCAACCTTGGCTCTTTTATGACTCGTGGACTTCAACTCCCAGAATTCCTGAGCCAGCTTAGCTGGCTCAGGAATTCTGGGAGTTGAAGTCCACGAGTCATAAAAGAGCCAAGGTTGACTACCCCTACTTTAGAATAACGATATAACCTGCAAGAAACTAGCTGATGAAAGCTTGGGCCACAACTAATTAGCTTATATTGAAACAGCTTTATTTGTCTTCTACATTTTGAAATGCCAAAGATTGTGTAATCATGAATATTAGATTAATACCATCTGTGATGATCTTCTCCTGGCACACCTACTATATCAATGAAGATTTAGAAATTGAACTGTGGAGATAGCACATTACAGTTTCTCCGTCATTCTTGCAAGATATAATACTATAAGCTTAAGAAGATCCAAGTAATGGTTGTTGCTGGCTTCCTTTTTTACACTTATTGTGTTAAATCTTCTAGTTGGTTGTGACACTTTCGTGTGTGTTGTTCTTTTTTTTCCCCCTCTCCTTTTATTTGTAAGCCACTGAGTC